AGAATATTGCACTTCTATTTTGCACTAACTATACCTTTTCTGCTCTGATGTGTAAAATCTTGTATATATTTGTCTTATTTTCTTGTTTTATTTTTTATTAATATTTATTGTATTTTATTTTATTATTTTCTTTCTGTAGTTATTTTACTTTGTTTTTATTTTTTTTAAATTTTTTTCAAAGTTCTATTTCTATTATTCCTGCAAATTCCTAGGGCGACACCAACAGCCGAAACCAAATTCCTTGTATGTTGTGTACGTACTTGGCCATTAAAGCTGATTCTGATTCTGATTCTGATACAGATCATGCCTTTCACATAGTTTCAGATCGGAATTCTGATCTTGGCCGGCCCAGATTGGAATTTGACTAGCTGGCCTAGATCAGAATCTTGGTATTGCTATTATTCACATGAGGTGTTGATAAAGATGCAAGATTCAACACACAAAAAAATGTCTTTTAATACATTTTATTTACAAATCATAGAATTTCATGCAGTAACACAGTATAAGAAAACTACATCAGTGTTGCTACATGGTGTTATTCTTACAATATACAAATACATGTATGCAGCTATGACAAATGAAAAATTAGAAATTTTACACTTTTTAAAGAATAGGAACTTTAAATTAAAAAAACTTTCATATTCATCATGCTTTAATATATGTCACTGCCTTGTAAAATATTTTGAGACATGTACATACTGCTGACAGTTTTGAAAAATGTATTATCACATACATGCGATCACATATTACATGTTTAAATTAAAATCTGTTCTGGCATCCCTCGTTGTTTGGACGACACTTGCTTGCACACTTGAGTCCTGCTTGTTTGTAGCGGCACTTGTTTGAAATACAGCTCTGGATAATCTTGTAACCAAATTGTTCACGCCCTTATGCTTTGAAGGATCAATCAAACACAACTGAGAAACTCTCAAATAGAGTTTCATCTAATCACTAAGTAGCATTTCATACACAAAACCCAAAGGCTGAGTGGTATAGAGTAATATTTAATATTTTATGTGTTGCATCACTACCTGCAATTCAACAATTTGTAAATAAAGTGTATCCAAAAAAAATTGTTGTGATGAATCTTAAAAAAAAGTTTATTAAAGATTAATGCTTGTTTTGAATCTTGCATTTGAATCAATATCCCATAAAATAATAATAATAATACTAATCATAATAATTATTCCAAGATTCTGATCTAGGTCAGGGCTGCAAGGTGGCTCGGTGGTTAGCACCCTTGCCTCACAGCTAGAAGGTCATTGGTTTGCATCCTGGTTAAGACCCCCGGGATCTTTCTGTGTGGAGTTTGCATGTTCTCCCCGTGCAGCGTGGGTTCTCTCCGGGTTCTCCGGCTTCCTCCCACACAGTCCAAAAACATGTTGTGATTCTAAATAGTCTATAGGTGTGAATGTGAGTGTGCTTGGTTGTCTGTCTCTAAGTGTAGCCCTGCGATAGAATTGCGACCTTCGCCCTCAAGTCAGCTGGGACAGACTCCAGCCCCCCCTGCGACCCTAGTGAGGGTTAAGCGGTGTATAGATGATGGTTGATCTCGGGCTGCAAGATCAGAATTCCAATCTGGGCCAGGTTGGTGTCAAGATTCCAATCTGGGTTGAGCCAGATCAGAATTCTGATCCAGTCTGATCCTGAATTCTGATTCTGTCTAGATTGGAATCTGGAATCAGGATCAGAATTCAGAATTCTGATTGGAATCTGTAGGAAAGAAAATGAAGATTTCATTCCAGACTGAACTGGAATGGAATTTCAATCTGGGCTTTGACATATACTTACACACGCACGCACGCACGCACGCACACACACACACACACACACACACACACACACACACACAAAGGTGTAAAATAGCAAAACAAATAAATTGAAATACCTGACCATTAGACTTGTATACAGCTCATAGTGACAGTGTAGTTACTTAAGAAATATCTCTAAGTTCAGATATATTCTATCATTTGAATGTGTTGAAAATCTATTTCATACCTTTGCATCTTGACACCTTGATTAATGTAATCAATTATGTTGCAGTCTCTCCCCTTACTAAGACAAAGTAAAAGGAGCATTATTTTCAATTCTTATACAAACCATATGTAATTTATTCCCTTAGCAAAAAGTTGAATTTTGACATAATTTGTGAATAATGTGTGAGAATGTTGACAACACACATTAAAGTCACACAGGATGTCTGCAAAAAAGAAATAGCGGTGAGGACTGCTGCTATTCATGAGCAATTTGAATGACAAATGTTGTGTTTTGTGGATGTGACACTATATTTTTGCTAAAAGAATTGTCACTCTTTAAAGATTGTCTCTGAACACGAATAATGTTCCTCTTTTAAGCCACTAGAGGGAAGCAGACACAGCAGAATGGTTGAAAAATGTGTTGAGTGTCTGCCTGCTCTAGATCTCATTTAGAAACTAAAAGTGATCATATACAGTTTCTTATTTTGATAGTGACCTTTCTGACTCCGACAGAATTAAGTTTTTCAAACATTCCTTTGGGAAAGACTAATAAATTAAAATGAAACAGGTCTACATCCTGGAGGCTGCACGTCTTTGAAGCAGCTTGGAATCACAGCCGTGTTTGTTTGCTGCTGCGCCTCAGGACCACGACTGAGGGTCAGAGGTCAGACAAAACAGAGCTGCACTTCTGATGGTCGACTCAAGCAGATGCATCAGATGTCGGATGAAAATGGTACAGAGAGAATTAGTTCAATGCTTTGTGTATTTATTCCATCATTACGCTGACAGTAGCACACACACACACAGATATGAAACTGTGGCCTGCAATGCTAGAAATAACTAAAGCTACTTTCTGTTCCATTATCTCTTCTTTTCTCAAAGGTAAATGCCTATTTTTTCTGATCTTTCAAAGTTTTGTCTCTGAATCCTTCCATTAATGTGTCTCATTCTGAATGTTGCATCTCAAGTCATATCAGCTTACTTGTAAATAGCGTTCACTTCAGCACCCAAGATATTTTTTCGAAAGCTCCCATAAATCCGACTTTGCACAAAAAAACATTGTCAAAGCTGATTAAATGCTGAAATTTAGGACATAGTCTGAATATATCCTAGAAAGGGACATGGAAAGTATGAAGGGTGAAAGAGAAACTGAAGAAAAGAAAGGTGATGGCGGATGAAAGAAGTGAGCAGAATAAAACATGAGAGCAGTAACAATCAACTTTTCAATCAGCCTGTAATATGGAGGGAATTCAGGCAGATATACAACCCTTTGTCCTCATCAAGCACTCACATCTGTCCAGTCAGTAGACAACTGCCAGACCAAAGGCAGAGCCTGCGGCTAGACCTGGACCCCAGACCCAAGGTAGAGCCTGCCACCAGACCCAAGGCAGAGCCTGTGGCCAGATCCGGGCCCCAGATCCAAGCCAGAGCCTGTGGCCAGATCCGGGCCCCAGATCCAAGCCAGAGCCTGTGACCAGACCTGGGCCCCAGACCCGAGCCCCAGAGTAAAGGCAAAATATTTGGTGCGGTCGGGGGGGACACTTCCACCTCCGATGGGGATTTCATGCACAATCCGAATTGAGCATCAAGTCCTGCAGTCTGAATGTAGCCAATCTGTCGGATTGTTTAGTCCGATAATACGGTGTTGTTCGAATTTGTGACAAAAAATGTCATGTCGGAATTAGAATCCAAGGCTGTCGGTATGTTAAGGCGATTTTTCCTGGGTTCCGTTTGTTTTTCCTAAACACCTGTCGGATAGCAAGGTTTTCGGATTGTTAATGGTCAGATCATCGAGTCACGACTGTATAAACAGAAACCGGAGGAGGGAAAACCTAAAAAAAGGAATTCGTGGTTCCTTAGGTTCTTTCAAAGAACTGGAGGGACCAAACCTCAGGCTGACTTCTGATATAGATGGACCCTCTTCCCCTTAACCTCTGCCTCTCTGAACCCCCAACGCTATAATTAATAACATCTTTCATTACATGTAAAACATGTTATTGATTATTTCTTACAGATTTAATTGGAATGCACTTAATTATAAAACATCATTATTAATTAATTAATTATTAGATAAACACATTTCATGTTAATATATATTATATCGTGCAAATATATATTAGCATGTTATGTTAATAACATGTAGTTTAAAGAATAGAAGAAAAAAAGTAAATTGAATGAAATATGAACTACAATAAAAACAGCAACAAAGTTGCTGATAAAAAATATATATCTTTGTGCAGTTGTGATTATGCATTAGTTTCTAATTTCATGTATGTGGGAAGGTTGTGCATGAAGGTTACACACATATGTGTCACTCATTAATCACAGGTTAGAGCAATTTATACTTAAGCACATAACTAGTACTTTTCACTCAAAACCGCTGACAACCAATACTAGCTATGCTGCTGCACCACCTGAAGATGTTTCAAGTTACATTGTGCTTTCAGTGATGCATTTTCTTGCAAAAAAAAAAAAAAAAGTAAAATAAAACATAAAAAATCTAGCTATAAATATATTTTTTAACAACACAAACACAAACTGACAGCTCCTATCAGCCAAAGAGCTGTACCTCATAACTTACTCATGGAGCGTCATGTTTCATAACCACCACACACAAAAACAAAACACACCTGAAATAATAATAATAATAATAATAATAATAATAATAATAATAATAATAATAATAATGTGAAATTTGCAACTAAAAATCAGGGAAAAGTGTAAACTTTCAAGCCAGACTTTTACTGATTCGGCATCTAGCGGCCGTTATTGGTAGAGCTCCTCAGCTCGCCTTCCGCCCACACTTCCGCATTGGTTTCTCAGTGTAACTCATAAATTTAGCTCTGACGGCTGTTGCCTTTCAAGGGTTTGTAATACTTTGACTTAATCTTGTAAATACTAGAGGGCGAAACTTATACAGCCGATGAAAATTGTGAATCGTCTTCCCTTTTTTCGTTTTCTACTTTTCTAACGTGTAAAACTACGTGTCCCAGAGTCCATAGCGCCACAGCGGCGGTTCCGTGTTTGAAGAGATAGTGGTAGTCGAGATCAGCCTGTCGGTGTTTGCCAACTTGAAGGTAAAAGAAAGAGGAAAAGTGGGGTTTTCTAGACACAGACTAGAATGACAGATAGGAAACCGTGTAAGGTGTGTAATTTCACACGACAAAAATCATACGGGGTTGTCGTTCCATCCCTGGACGAACTGAAGCAAAAAGGTGAGTTGCCATGGCTATAACTTCTAAACGTGTCTAAAGGGAATTGTATAAATGTAGCCTTAGGCGGCAGTTAGAGCAAAACTATGTCTTATATTCGCCAGATCTTGAAATTTAATCTCATGTACTTGTGTATGGTGGCTGCTGTATTTACCTTTTGTCTTTGCACTGCTACTACAAGCCAAAGAGGCTACATGAGGTGAAAGTAAAATGAAATGTTTGATGTACTGATAATGATCATAAAGACTGTTGTCATCCATTGGCATTACAACCATGGTGATCCTGCTGCACAGCTTAAGCTCACTTATCTGTCATGATCACGCAGGACTTGTGTGTGTAGCAACATTTCCATTTTCATCGTGTTCAAACTTGCAGCAGCTTAACATGAGAAGTCAGTTCTCTTCTTCTGCTCATTCCTCGAATCCTAGTCAGCAGGCGTTGCCCAGATCACTGCACACTTAAGGTCTCTGTCCTTTACAGATGTTGTTCAGCCTGCATTCTAGATATATTAATGGAGCAAAGATGCAAGGTCGTGCCACTGTCTTTAAAACAATCTACATGTTGAAATACACATGTATGTTTAAGCTTAAGAAAGTATTCTAGCTATTTATGACACAATGCCTGGAATGCTCTCATTTGAAAATTCTTCCCTTCCTTCTGACCCTATTGTGAAGATATAAATCACTACCAAATGTGTTGTTTCTGCCAGTAATCAGTATGCATGTTCTCATTTACGCAGATATAGTCAGCATACAGATAACATTAATACAGAAAAATACAAAGTAAACTACATTAAAGACTCAGTTGGGGGACATAAGCAAGCCATATGCATGGTTTTACCATTATTGTAAAGAATGCAGAATTCCAAGAGGCCTAAAATGAGGCTAGGATATCTGAAAGAGTAAGCAGGACAACCACTCAACACTTCCTGTATGGCAAATGGAAACTGTGCTGATGGCAGAGCAGGTGGCAGCTCAGATGCACTGAGGTGTTTAAACTGCAGAAGTATTTGCTTGAATCACATGATGATCAGATGGTATGTGACATCGTTGCAGTACTGGTTGTTTTGCTATGACATAAGACTGAAGACTTCTTCTCTGGGGCCCTCATTAAACAGATATTCACATAAGATCTATGAAGTAAGTCATTTCTTCTCCCTACAGGGTGTGAGTTTCTTGGGTATAGCCCGAGTGACCTGGTCACCGTGGTCCTCGATAATGATGGGACGATAGTGGAGGATCAAGCCTACTTTTTGTGTTTGCCCTTAAACACAAAGTTCATGCTGTTGCATGAAAAAGAGACATGGTCTCCAGTTCGCAAGAGTAAGTAGCTTTACTTCTACCTGAGATTTGTCTACAGTCTTGACTGATTCCTGTAACTAAAGAGCCCTCACTAGAGGGACATAGTTGCCTCATGTATGCATGTTTACCTGATTCTGTGTTTTACAGTGCAGCTGCTTGAGGATGAACTTGCCTTGATTTTGCCTTAAAATGATACATAATGTAACAAGAGCTTAGTCTGTCATCACCACATCACCAATATGGGTTCCTATCTGATGGGGGGGAAAAAACTATGTGTTTATCTGACACCTTTTCCAAGTTATAATGGATTTAATTTTTGTGATTGTTTAAGACCTTCAGTGTGACCTTGACCTTTATCTTAACGTCATATGGTACATCACCAGTTTATAGGCCTCGAATGTCTTCCTAAATTAGTATACTAAACTCGTGTCTTTCTGTGCATTTTCAGTCATACAGCGTTTTTTTGGGAAATGTGACATTTACCTCTGTAGCGGTCACCAATGTATGCACTGACCCCAAAATCTAATTACCATACCATACCAAGGGACCATACTGAGGTCATATATGAAGCTTCAGGTTCAAACTCCTTTACTGTAAAGCGCTAGGTTGTTAAAAGACAAAAAAAAAAAAACAAAACAAAAACAGGCACACACTCACACACACACACAAAACAAACCCACGGGCACGATTACTCTATAGTTGCTGATAGGCAACTATAATAAACATCAGTGAAATGTGCATCTTCGAGTGTTGGTACTCACTTACTTATCTCATCGTAGTGGATGGCGGCACAGCTTGGATGGCTCGGGAGTCAATGCTGCTGGAGAGTGATGCTGTGGACGCCTCCAGTTCAGTGGCTCCCTGGTGGGGCTTGGCTCAGCAGCTGAAGCAGGACATGGCCAGCATCATTCTCATGTCTGAGGCCGATTTACAGGTACCAAGTGTAACTGCACCAGTCTGATGAAGTGAAGGCCACACATCATACAGATTTGAATATTTATTTTCCCTCAACCCCCAACATACATACAAAAGCACTTTGACAAATACTACAAACAAATAAGCATTGTAATAAACAGCATTCAATTTTTAATCAGATATTGATTTTAGAGTTGTACATTGTAAAAGCTGCCTATGTAACATTTTATTCATTGTATTTTTATTCAGTGCTAATTACTGTATGAATTCAAACATTTATGAAAATATGACCGAAGATTTAAAAAAAACAAAAAAGTTGCTACGATTAATCCACGATAGTACACATGGCAACAAGCCTGATCAGTCTGCATGCAGTAAAGATGTTCGATGGTCGAAGTCCACCTCTCCAGCTCTGCCTCCCGTTTGCTCGTAGCCTGTTCAGATTCCAGCCCGACTATTGGGAGTTTACTGTTGGCCTGCTCTTTCTCAAGCAGATTCCCCATCTTCTTTTCTAACCTCTCGACTTTCTGAGAGCTGTCCTGTACATGTCTGCTCCTCTGCTGCTGCCTCAGTCGGCTCCTCTGCTCTCTTATACAAGCTTTCTGTTTGGACACCAGCTGCTGCAGCCCTGTGTTACTTTATTCGACTGAAATCTAAGCATCTTGTTGTTATTTCTGATGATAAACGTAGATATCCGTTAGGTTCAAGGAAACATATATATTCTATTTTTTTTATATATATGAATCTGTCATGCATACCACAGTGTGAACTGGTAAGAAAATAGAAATTACGACTGCTTGCAAAACCTGCATACCTTATTTGTCTCGATCAGCTTTATAATCTTTGTCCTGTTGAAGGATAAGGATGTTAATTAGCATTTTTAAATTCCAATGGAACGACTAAAATCAGCATTAAATTGGCCTTACTGACAGGTTTAGTTTGTTGTAGCAAATTTTTGATGTATCTGATTCCTTTTGCCTCTGACTTCGATTGTTGTGCAGAAATGACTGAAGATTGCCACAGTCGGTGGCATGACTCTCTCTTAAAATGGACCTAGAAACTTTGTTTTATTGTTTAAACTTGCATGCAATATGATTATGTTTTAAGGTGTTTCAATCCAGAGCCAACCATAGTAGTGTATTATTACTTTAAGCATACTCTGTGTCATCTGCTGTTCAGACCTTGGTGGATGCCCCGTGTCCTGAGCTGGCCTCTGCTTTGAGCTTCCAAGAAAAGAAAGCTGAGGACCTCCAGGAGACACTGCAGAGGGTTTTGGACCGAAGAGAGGAGGAGAGGCAGTCCAAGGAATTGCTTCAGCTTTACATCAAAGCTGCAGAGAAAGAGGATAGAGAGCAGGAAGAAGCCCGCCAGCCTGACCAAGGAGGTACGACTGTGCGGCATCGTGTGGTAGCTTTCAGTTTTATCTTTTTGAAACAGTTATTCTTAACAAAGATCTGGGGCACTTTGTTCTTGCTTTACCCTCTAAAGAACATGAGGAGTTTATAAGCGTGGCTCTCTGACACAATTTAAACTCTGTGATAAGTTGCTACTTCTTGGTCAGACAGCTTTTGTATTGGATTTGAGGTAAAGACCCTCTAAAGAAACTTTGTAGACTATTTCACAGCAGTCCGTCAAGAAAATCAACAGTGCTTTTTTTTGCAATGTCGCCGCTTTGGGACTCATTGACTCTGCTGACCTATTTCAGGATTCTTTAAAGAGCCACTAGTGTTCCAAATAGAACGCTCAAGCAGCCCAATAAAGCTGATTTTGTTGACACCATAGGAATGTTTCACTGGATAATATCTGGCATTGCTCAGACTTCTTTGTTCATCTGTTTTTAATCTTTATTGCATTATTTTTTAGCCTCGTTAGTTTTAATCATCATAATATGAAATGTATTTTTGTGTAAGATGTTTGCTGTTAGTTGGTGAGTTTTAAAATGCCAGAGGTCCTTGTATATCTTATTCTGTTATATGAGTAGCCGTCATCTAGAACTGTGGGTCTCAAGCCTTTTCAGCCACGACCCCCAAGATAACATAAGTCTGTGTTTGTGACCCCCTTTTTGAATTTTTAATGTGGCATGAGTAATAACTTTGTTGTTCATGCATTAATGCGTTAAAAATGAATGTGTTAATTCCACAGATTAATCTCTTCACATTAACACGTTCATTTTCTTTTAAATGAATGAATGAATTGAATTTATTTCGAACAAATTAAAGGGAAATGAAAATATAAGACAAAAGAAAATAATTTTTAAAAAGAGCATTAAAAAAGAATAATAATACCGCATAATCAAATCATAATATTAACAAGTTCAAAAAAGCAGTGGGAAGAAGAATACACTTTTAATTTTGACAGCCCTGATACAACTTTATTTGATAAATGTGGGCTTTATTTATTTATTTATTTATTTTTTACAATGATCTAGTGACCCCCTGAAATAATCTTGGGACCCCCATGGGGGTCCCGACCCCCAGTTTGAGAACCACTGATCTATAAGCATGAGTACAACGCCCAGCTAAATGATCAATATTATCCTATAACTGTAGTAGCCCTGAGGAAGGTCATGACCCAGAAACTGGTTGTCCTGTGGATAAGGATCGTTGCTGACATACCCTTAACCAGCATGCTGGGCTGGTACAATCAGACAATCTGATGAGAAATAATTCTTGATTTATTGATGTACTTGTATTTAAGAACTAAGGACACTATTTGTGATCAGTAGATAGATCATTTAAAGCACCCATGGTCATATCATTTCACTTTCGTCTGTGCAAGAATGCAAAACAGTCACAACAACAAAATTAATCGAACTTTTAAACAGTTACAGTAGGTGAAAACAACCACAGATATTATTTCTTAACGTGTTATTTTCGTACATTTTTCAGTGCTTGTTGAAATATCAGTAGTCGGTTTATTCTCTTTGATGGTTTGTATGTGGGGCTGTACTTTTACCTTTTGGTCACTAGGTGGAACCGTTGTTGCTGCTTCATAAGTCCAACTCATGTAGCGATTCGCAGTGTTTAAACCAAACCTGTTTCACTATGTCAGATGCTGGAGACGTAGATATGCCAGATGGCCTGGAGGTGGACGCTGCATCCGGATTCATGACCAGGACACTGATGGTCCTGAAAGGAAAAACCTTCCCAGAGACCAGGCTCTCCACTGAGGACCTGCAGGTAGTCCACTCACATCACTGATCAATTCTGCCTTAAAACTTCCGCTAATAAAAACAGCTTTAATTTGACTTTTATACATTCTACACTGCATGTAATTACAAATGTCTCAGAGACCTCAGCTTTTCCTAAAACCTCCAGAAATGTTCCTAAAGCAAATTTAGACAGATCTGAGCAACCAAGGTGGATTTATATGTCACATTAGTGTCCGATGCTTTATCATACTCTCATATAATTTCTTGTGGTGCAATGCTATGGCCATAAACTGTATATAAAGCTGGACATAGAAGGCAATCATGTCCCCCACTGGTATGCAAGGGAGCTGAACTGAAGCCTAGAGAATGGCTTCATGGTTGTCTTTTCTGGCTGGAGCTGCAACCTGCATAAAAGGGAAACAGGGTGGAGCAGGGGCAGTGATGCTTGAAACCTGATTGGTGAGCGTAGCTAACTCCTGCAGCATTGCCAGTATGTTAGCTAACAGGCAAGGTGCATTGTACACATTCTGCTCAGTGCTAATATTTCACATAAAGTGCATCAAAATTGGAAACCATTAAGTAAAAAAAAATGATTGTAGAAAAAAATTGGATATTTGAGTCCCTTGAGGGTGTCAGTGCACTTAATTGAAGAACAAGTCGTATTGATGGTGAACTAAAAACACATTAAAACAAGCTGATGAGCAGCAGAACTATCTGTGGGAGATGTGTTGCCTACTCCACTGACAAATGACATCAACATTTGTCATTGTGTCACAACTGCATGCATGCAATTTGAAACTCCCTCGTAAATGGCATGTCATTCACTTTAGACTGGACATATCAATCAAGGTAGTTGTCATATCTAATTTTGAGGTTGAGTATCTACTTAATGATGAAATGAAAACTTTTCAAAATGGAAACCAGCATACTGATCAGAGAGACTAGCTCATTTCATCACAGTGGCTTGTAGGAAATATTCATTAAATTAGAATTTAATGAGAGAAGTTTTTTTAAATGGGGGTCTATTGTATCCACATGTTTTTTTGCAGCATATTCCTGCCTGGCTGTAACATCAGCCCATCAAGCTTAACAAGCAGCTGTAGAAATGACAAAGCAAGTGTCTGCAGCTGCAAGGCCTGACCCACTTACACATGCTTGCTCACTGCTTTATTAGTGACGCAGTTCTGATATATACAATCTGAGGGGTGTTTGCTTTCGGTGTAATGCAAGATTTTGTATAGAGAAATATTTCTCTCATCCTTATTTGCATATTTAAAGAGAGAAACACTTTAGAAGCACTCTCGATATATTTCAGGGAAATGCACCAGAAAGACTAACTGCTCCTCAAATCAACCCCCCCTCCCGACAAAATTCATGTGTGTAAAAAAAAAAACACTAGAAAATCACTTCAAAGTCTCACAGTGTTTAAAATGAAGCTCCCTTCATGTGTCATTAGATGGTTGTGACCAGAGGAGTGGAAGCCATGGAGCAGGTGCTGGGCTGGGACACAGAAAGGACGTCTTCGCTGCTGCAGGCCTGCCAAGCCGAGCTGGCCACGCGTCTGCAGCAGATTCAGGCCGTGCAATCCGTCAGGAACAACACACAGCCGGACGGCGACCAGCAGTCCAGCGAAAAGAGCACGATGGAGGGTGTAGAAACGCCAGCTCAAGGCAGCGAATAGGTCGAGACTTTACCTGAGCAGAGACTGATAAGAATTGACACTACCTGCCTCGGGGGTCAGCGGGATGGGATTTGCCCCGTGTTACTGATGAAATCGCTACTGCTGGAATACATGAATGTTAAGGATGTTGACATTTGCATCATTTTTGTAAAACTCGCAAACCACTTGAATGCTTTCGCCTCCGGAGGAAGCAGGGTGATTTGCACAAGTCATGTTTATCAAAGACATGACGACATGAACCACTTGCATCACTTGTGCATTGGCTCCTTATTCTGATGAGTCCCATGCTGTGAAAATAACGACACATAAACACATCCATGTGCAACTTAAAGTCATAGTTTAACATTCTGGGGAGAAAAAAAAAACAAAACTTGCTTGCTATCTTGCTGCGAGTTAGATGAGAAGATAGATACCTCTCACATGCCTGTACTTTAAATGTGAAGCTGAAAAAAGCTGCCAGTTAGCTCGGCTGAGCACTAAGGCTGGTAATAGGGAAGCCTATAGCCTGGATAACTAAATCTACCTACCAGCACCTCTGAAGCTCACACATTTACAAATTACAAAATAAAAATGCTTGCAAGTAATTCCAGCTAAAACCAAAACTTGTACTTTTACACACATCTTTGTACATTTAAATAAATGAGATGTAACATATGGACTAATTAGCTTTAGAGACAGAGGTTTTTTTTTTTTTTTAATTCATTTTTTGTCATTAGTTTCCAGCCTTTACTCTCAGCTGAGCTAGTTGTCTAGAGTCATATTTAGCTATCAGATACGAGTGATATCAATCTTATCATTTGACATTCAGCAGGAAAGCAAATGAGGAACAATGTGGAACTACTGCTTCCATCATTTATATAAAATGCTACTTTTCAATTTGCTTTCCAGTAGTGTTTCACCTTCTGCTCTGCCAATTTAGATAGAAGTCGAATACCGATTATAGTTAAGAAGTAGCTATAGGAACCCTATGGATGTCCTGCAGAATACATCATTTAGTTTTGTTGGAAATCATTTACACGTGTTTAGCTTGTTTTCGTTTATTATTTTTGCCAAATATGCCTACGAGCTGAATTAACTTCAGCCTGTTACTGAGCTGTCAGAATGTGTAACAACACATTTTGAAATGGACACTATGAAAAACTGTGTGCTCCCAGGAACTTGTGGATAGTCTAAAGTAGGAGTCAACTAAGCAAACAACTAACTTTCTCTTTCTTATTATCCTCCCCCTTTTTTTTAACCTTTTTTTTTTTCCACCCAATTTTAACTAATAGTAGGAAGACAGGTTCCCTTATCGTGGATATCAGTCCAAAGCAAGGCAGCCTTTTCCTTTAGATTTTGCATAAATATGCGCCTCAGGGTGAAATGCCATAACTAACTGACGTGTGACTATTTAGGGAATCCTATCACGGGAGAATGAAAGGTAGAAATACCTCTGATCCAACAGTGCAGAAAGAGTTAATCTCTAGGCACAATACCAAAGGACTTGACAGAAAATGACAGACAGGATCATGCTGAGATGTAATTTTTTTTTTCAAAGATGTATATAAATGCTAAAAAAAAATACCCCCACTAATCTTGCATGGGTAAGCAAATATATTTGAATGGGGTACACAGGCTAATTCATCTTTCTAACAATAAAGAGACGAGATAAGATGCATGTCACTTCATGCATGCAAGCCTCACTGAGCACATTATGGCCGACGTTATGGGGAAGAATGACGGCGCTTCGTCTTTGAATTACATAGAACCAATATTGCTACTTGAACACTCTTCAAGACTGTCCATTATATATTGTTGTGGAAGTTACATATCAGTCTCGCGGCCGTGTGATGTAAGACGGCGTGGACAACGTGTGCAGGTCCGTGTGACTCATGTACACGGTAGCTTTTACAATGCCTGCCATCTCGTTTGTCTCTCGAACAATGAATGCAAATTGTGCATTTGAGTTTGACGAAAGATGTTTTTTCGGTGCGTTCCGTGCTGAAATTGAGTTGTCAGCGTGCGCTTGTTCTTTAGTATTAGATACAGGGAAAAGTGCAGCATTTATAAACCACTTTCAATTACTCAGTATTGTGTCTATGTCTGGCAAAAAAAAAAGTTGAGCGTCAGCTTGTCACATGGTTTCACCAAAGTTTTATACTGAACAGGAGTTGTGCTTTGCCATTTCCCCAACAACAGTCCACATTTTGTATTTAATTTTAACATGCACAGCGTATGTTGCAACCAGAAGCTGTAAATGACAGGACAGTGTGTGATTCAAGGTTCCTTTTATACATGTTGAATGCTGGAGGAGGGATTTTTTTTCTTAAATAAATTAGCCTTCAGGCTCATGAAAGTGCCGTTGTTCCTCATTTTTTATGGCTAAAATTAAAAACATTTAGAATTATGCACAGTCTGAGTGAAAGATGTGATTCTGTAATCTCAAGACTTCCTCTGAAGAATCCAAACATGAGTGTTGTGTAGTGACACAGGACCTTAGTCGTCCTCAAATGTATTCATATTCTTCCATTAAAGAAAAGGCAAAATGCACGATAGTCACTCAAATAACTAGAAACTGAAAAAAGTAATAATAAATAAAAATTTACTAAATTAGAATTTAGTGAAATGAGGCATCACTTTTGAATTGTGGTTGAAAATAATTTTTAAAAAAAACAAACAAAACTGTCAAATTAGAGCACTTTGCTGATGAGCAGTGAAATCCAAACACCTGCCAACAGGTGCAGAAGTCTGACTGAGAGTTCCAGAAAACACTTGATGGCAGTGATTGGCTCAAAGGATTGTTCAACAAAATATTAGTTGATGGGTCCCATCTTGTTTGTTTGCTTGGTTTTTTGTTTATTTTTGATATTTCTGTTGAACCGCAATTCAAAAGCAATGTCATGATTTTCATAAATGTGTATTTATTATTATTACTTTTGTCAACTTATTTCAGTGACAGCTGTTTTTTTCCTTCTTTAATGGGAGGGTATGAATACATTTGAGGATGACTGTATTTACCCTAAAATACTGATTAGCAAAGGTTTCTATGGTCAAAAACATATTTAACAACAACAACACATAACCACATTATTTTTCTTTTTTTACACTAAGCTGCTAAGTTCATGCAATATTTGATTTAAGGTACCTTTTATACATGTTGAATGGTGGAGGAGGGATTTTTTTTTCTTAAATAAATTAGCCTGCAGGCTCATGACAGTGCTGTTTTTATGACTAATATTAAAAGCATTTAGAATTATGCACAAACTAGATGAAAGGCATGATTCTATATTCTTGAGACTTCCTCTGAAGAATCCATAAATGAGCACTGTGTAGTGACACACCACCTTGTTTGTGAACCTTTTTTGTGAAGACACAATTACCTAAAACACTGATTAGCAAAGATTTGTATGGCTGAAAACATTAATACAATTTTAAAAAAACATGCAATATTTTTCTTTCAGCACCAACTTGTTAAGTTCATGCACGAGAGAAACTGTAATTCGCATATTAGCTAAAAGCCTATTGGACGCGTTGCTGCTAGATGTTTTCCAACAGCTGGTTAATGGGTTTCATGGTGTGCGTAATTCCCGTAGAATTGGCTCCAACTAGGCTGAACAGTCAGGAGCGAGTGTGATAACAGTGCAGTAGCAGTCAATTGTGCGATCATGTGTCACACTGTCCACGTGGATTAGATTTTGACTTAACAGTGCTCAGGTAGATACGGCAGCTTTGCTCTGTAAGCACTCAGGTGCCCTCAGGACTGTCTGGGCATTTCACGCTGGAAACAAACCTCCTCCCATGTGGTCAGATGACTTTCAGAAAGCACATGTCTACCCAAGACCTTCTGATTTTGTTTGGTTGCAAATGCCAAGGTGATGTATGGGTCAGTACGTATATTGCCTTGTAAGTCCCGGTGGCCTTCAAGTTACAAAGTACGTTGCAGCAAAACAGCTCAGTCAAACCTAACGTACATACGATTGTTCAGAAAAAAGTCAGAAGTTCACAGAAGAGTGGTGTCAGACTGATTTCAAGGCACAAAAAGATGAAAGAAAATCAAATACTAGAGCGAGAGAAACAGTAAAAATCTATCAAGTGTTTTTCTTTTCCGCATTTGAGCGCCTCCTTTTGCGCCACTCGTGGGGAGATTACAGATGGAGGAAATGTTGGTGAGTGCATGCAAAATTGTCAAATCAGAGGCAATTTCATGGGTCTGAAGAACCCTATAATGACTGTTTTTAAACAGGAGAAGAGCAGGGATTGCTGAGAACAAGCTGCATAATGTATGAAGGTTAAACGGCGAGAATTTATTGCGTCTCAGACCAGACTGATTGACTTCTGGGAGACTTTCCTGCATTCATTTATCAACGTGTGTCCGTCTCCAGCTAGAATGGAGCGGAGTTGAGCCACAGTATTTTTAGGAATTATCAAAATTCTCGTCTGACCACACAGACTGTCTTTTGAATTTTATTTGCATAGGAAAGCACGATACAAAAGGATGTGCCGGTGGGATTATCGCTTCAAAGGAAGAAGTAAAGACAAGTAAAATGAGACTTAATCAGCCATCCTATTTAAGCTAAAGTGAGGGATTCAGGTTGGTGCTGGTGTACTTGAGCTTCCACCCCTTGTTTTTCCCGCTAGCGTCGGATCTGAACGCAACATGCACTTGGTAGCTTCCAGTGTCAATGCGAGGCGGCGGCGTCGAGCCACAGAAGGGTCCGTACTCCTGTCCGGCTGTGGTGATCTTGCAAAGGGGAACATTAAATAAGAAAAAAAACTCATTCATTGACTGATCGATGTCCAGCCACAGTTAAATATGCAGCAAGCCGCATGGCCGTAGAGTATATCACCCAAAGAAGACAAGTCGGTGACAGACTACCTCCACGGGCATGAGCAGGAATACATTGCTTATTCATCATCTGAAGTCGCATGACTGACCTTTAACATATCGTACGGACAGGGAACATCTGGGTGTCCCTCTATGTCAAAGGCTTCCAGGAAGTCCAGGATTATTCTGGAGCCCTCAGGAAGACGGATGGTGTGGTCGCACCGACTCATGGGAGGGTAGGGGTTCGGGTACCCCGGGCTGGTCAGGACCCCCGACGGAGACGTCAACACCTGGCTTTGGCACGGCACTGAAGAGAAGACTCACTTGATAACTGTGTTCACTTTGAAGCATGATTTCTACAAAATGCAAAATGAATCACATGACCTGCTGTAGCTGGGTTATTAAGTATAAGCTCTGAAAAGTTTCTTGATTAGATCAAAATAATAGTTTTGAGTCAATTGAAACGTTTCCTGGCAGCATAAATGATGGGATTCATTTAGGCTCGCGCTATTGCCCCTGCAAGTGTGCAGATGTTGTTGCAGACAAAAACAAACGAGCGTTGCAACGAGAGGCAGAGTTGCTGTAATTCATATAATTAGCACAAACTGAAGGCAGATAATCATTTTTTTGCCTATTCATTGCGTGATTTGTTTTGTCACCCCCTTTTCCTCTGGCAAAGAATAATAATTTAAGGCACATCAGCTAGTAATTGTGATTAATTACCCGGTGTCAGTACACTATTAGCGCTGCACACAGGTATCAATTTTTAATACCATTTTGAAGTTGCTTTTCCCTCAGGAATCGACAGTAATTAACCCCGCCTTACACCAGCTGGCAGAGATCAACTACTTTATGCATCAGTATGCCTTTTCAGTCTGAAATTAGTTAGCACAGGCCAGCTATGACAGAATGAAATCCAGAATGTAACACCATCGACTGCGAGCCCTGTGAAGTGTCAGGAAATTCTTGTTTTTTCTGCGAAATAATGAGAGTGTTTCCAGAGACAAATGGCTTTTTTTTTCTTTTAAAATTAGGTGTAGTTAACAACACAGCAATCTGATCTAATTTCCATCTAACGTTCTCAAAAAGCCTCAAATTAGCAACAGTTTGTATGATAATTGTCTCTATAAATACCTCAATTCCCCATCAGCAAACATTTGGTCATTATTATGTTTATATCATTGACAAATGCTGTGAAATTAAACGTGCAAAATGTCACCAACAGGGTTCAGTGCACACACACACACACACACACAGGGAGGCTGCTTTGCTTTATTGTCATCAATATCTCTCTGTTGTCTGACATGGAGGCGCCGAGCAGCAAGTGTGTTTAACTGGAGAAAGCGCCACACACCCTCCTCACAGAGATCAATACGCAGTCAAACGCTGCGTGCCGAGCTTTTAGCACCGCACCTCGCAGCGCTGATTGAGCTCAGAAGCCTCTTGAGCTTTTAGTCCGCACCGCTCTCACCTGTGCAGGATCTTTTGTTGTCATGGAGAAGGTATCCCTGTTTGCACGTGCAGTAATAGCCGCCGATGTAATTGTGGCAAAAATGGTCGCACACTCTCTCCCCATCTACCTTGGACTGACACTCGTTGATGTCTGCGAGAGACGGACACAGTGGAAAGTGAAGCATTGCACAACAAATTTTCCATCCTTAAAATGCAGAATGTGGGATTGTCTTTACATGAATGTCTCCGAAATCCCAACCCATGTCAGATTATCTACCTGCTTGGTTTGCTTTGTTCTGGTGTGTCAGAACGGCTTTTCACAAGTTAAGCAGACACGAAAAAAATGGTTCGTCTTAATTTTGGCTCATACAGAAAAAAAAAAAAGTGACGTCAATCGGCTGAAACCAAACAATGACACACGAATATTGGAGATGCTGCAGCAGGCTCAGGGGTGTGATTCTTACAGGCAATTAAAACAAGATTGGAAAAGCAGGAATTGCATGAAAGCAGAAATTGCACAGAGACTCATTCTATACATCAGAGCTCCCAACGCTTAAACAGCAAGAAGAAGGGGCCTTTAATGAAAAATATGCTGGAGACAAATAGCACAGGTTGTTTGAATGTATTAAAAAGCCCGATGAGAAGTAGTGTTCTGTCAAACTGTTCTTGAATAATGTGTAACCTTGCTTCATATTACACTTGCAGTGGTTTGTCACTGTTATATTGTATGTGTAGTTTGAAGTCTTTCTTTTCTATTTCTACTTCTGAAATCATATGTAAAGTATTACCGCATGATAGAATCCGGCTATTATTTCTGTAGAAACTCCGCTACACTCTGCTCAGTGTAATTACAGCTGCCAAAAATGTACCTGCCTCCTGGCAACAAATGTCGCTTTTATGCATCACCTTCTGAGGTGTAAAATGCTTGGAAGCCGGTGAATCGGCCCTCGTTAGAGTAGTCGCTCCTAAAGACCACTGACATGAGGTTCCCGGCTGACAGGATGATGGTGTTCCTGGGGCTGCTTTCATAGTTCTTCGCTTCCTCTCCGCAGAACCGCAAGGTTTCGTTCCCCTCCGCCAAAACCTGGTTTGACAAGGTCAGAGGGCCTTGTTTAGTGAGCAGCTTGCTGGCTCCAGTGCAGATAACAGGAGTGTTTTTTTTTTTTTTCCCCCCCACGTGTACCTGGATGTAGTCGTATTCACACTGGTTGGAGGGCTCCACGCTGAAGTGGGTGAAGTAGAGTTTGACCCTGTGGCCGTCTGGGACTGTGATGTTCCACGCCATGTGCTGGTGGTCAGGGTACGGCTGGGGGAAGTTGGGGGAGGTGAAGCTGCCGTACAAGCCTTTCATTTCCACACTCAGCGACACGTGGACGAGGGAAAACAGGACAAATACGGAGACGCAACTGGGAAAAGTCAGGTGATGATGGCAGCAGCTTCAGGGGTTATGTTGCACAAATGAACAGCAGACACTCACCTGGGCACGCTGGCTTCGCTCGTCATGTTTTGGAAAGGTTCGCTCCCACTGAGTCGAGGGTAAATGAACTCGACCGACTGACATTTAGGTAAACAAAGTGAAGCAGGCACATGATCAGTTTGTCATCAGTCTCCACCTTCTTGAGTTGCAGAAATCTATCCAACAGATGTATGTCAGAGCAGTTTGTATCCATTATATTAAACTTTTCAATTGTTTCATCGCCACATTTTGAAAGGAAATGATCATTTAAATGACTGTGACTTTTCTAATTACTTAACTTTCATTGCACTGATGAAAAACAAACAAGAGAAAATACATTTTATAACCCATTTCTTGCCTTTTATTCACAAAATGTGTTGATTTTTAACTTTAAAACTCAAATATTGTAAGAAAATGGCCTGTCATTCAGGTAAACTAAGTGAAGCAGGCACATGATCAGTTTGTCATCAGTCCCCACCTTCTTCAGTTGCGTAAATCTATCCAACAAACGTACGTCAGAACAATTTATATCCAGTCTGTTGAACTTTTTCTCTCATTGGTTTATCAGCTCGTCTACATGATTCTATTTCCTTCACTTTCATTGTACTGACAACGATTCATAACCCCTTTCTTACCTCTTATTCATCAAATGTGCTGATTTTTAACTTTCAAACTAAAAAAAAACTGCCCCTATAAAAAAGCACATTTATAAACATGGTAAACACCGATCACCTGTGTAACACCTCGGCGCCCTGTGAATCCTGTTTAGACAGTGAGGCTGATCGGACCAGACTCAGGCCGCTAATTATTTCAGACCCCGCTCTTACGGCGGTCGAGCTGTGAGGTTGTTAAATAAAAGCCTCAGAAAAATAAATACGCCATCACCCACAACATTTACCAGCCCGGCCCTTTTGTTTGCACCTAATTACTGTATGAGGCATGAAATCAGTCAGTGGTACGTCAACAATAAATTGCATCATGTTTTATTTAATTTTTAAATTTTTTTTTTGTCTGCAGTCTGCACTTTGCCAAATGCTTTAGGGTCAGACTTCATTGTAAAAGCTATTATAATGAGGGAATAGCAGAGTATTCACGCTGTGTGTTTTTGATGGAATATGGATATTGATGTTATTCAGAAGTGAGTGAGGCCTTTTAAACTAGCAACAGTTTCACCGTAAGTAGCTTATAATAACCAAACCCCTGTTTTCCCTAACACGAAAGCACTAATGGCTAGTATTTGAACTGAATTACAATAATTATCCACGTAAACATCAGTGTTAATTTCCCTTTGCAAATGACCTTTTTGATTCTGCTCTTTTTCGGCCATGACCTTTTCCTGATTGTGAGCTGGTGGGATGTTGAGCCACGGCGGTGGATGTGCTGATGGCAGATGTTTCCTCCTCTTGGATGTCATCCAGGTGCCACTCAAGCTTTTAGAATCCAGTGTGACGCATCAACAAAAATGACACCCTCTGACTCAAAGCATAGCATCCCTAGACATGTGAAAACCATAAAGAACTGTCGTGGCGTTTATGCTTTATGCATTATCATCACCCGGTTTCTCATTTATTGCTCGACGCTGGGGATGTAAATTATTTTCCCGAGAGCTCAGAGGGATCTTAAAGGTGAAAATAGAGAGAGATCCTGGACTATTTCCACTTAAGCTTAACCTCCAAGGAGCTGAATTGCATCTCATAACGCTGCAGACATCCTGATGAATTTCTTATTTTGAAGCCATTTTGCATTCTTGGTTTTAAAGATATTCCACCCAGTTTTCCTCACTGGTGCGGAGAGAGCTTCTCTGAACTCCCTCATGAAAGAATATTTGCTGTATTCAAAAGGAAATCTTGGAATTCAAGCCTGCACCTCGTACACTTTAACTACTCATTTGTGCAAGGACATTATTGTGGGATTAACGCTGCAGCTTCCAGTGTTTCTTTAGACATTTTCTGTGGATTATAAAGTGAAATGCTGTACCCCTTTAAATATTTCATTAACTGGGCTCAGAATTTGCATATTGCCTTGTATTCTTTCATTGTTGCTTTTGGATGTTGTCCTGTATATGCAGCTTTAGTAGTAATTATTAGACCGCATGTTGTTTTATGCACAACAGGCCTTCAACACCAGTAGTTTGAATTTGAACATAGTAGGTATATAATTACAGCATCTTCTATATGACGGAAATAATATCTGAAGCTGTAAAAATATAAAAATTTACACAACATTCTTTTTGAGTCACCATCATGTAGAGCCTAAGCTGTACATGTAAAGTCAACAGATAATCCAAACTACATAATTGCTCAAAAATTGATTAAAAAAAAGACAGAATTGCGAGCTGATATTGGTGCACAGTGACTTAATAATTACTTAAAAACTGTATTTTCAATGGGAGACAAGACTCCTATATATATAAAATCACCAATTGAAGCACAAGGTAGATCCTGGATGTTAAAAAAACGGAACAAAGCAACTCTAAAACAACAACAGCAGACCATTTTTTATCCAATTTATTATTAAATTACACATTATAACATTCATTTTTAATAGAGCACTGAGACTTTCTTTCTTATTTAATGCCAAAGCCCAATCTGCAACTGGTTAGGCTGTGAACTAATAAAAAAGCATGTGTATAAGTTTGCATGTTAAGTGAAATAATGCAACTTGTAGTTATGAAATGGATCTTTATTTTGAGATATTGTGAAGATTTACGTGCCATTTACTCAAACTATAGGTTGTCACAAAACAAAAAAAAAACACATGAATACTGGCTGGAAATGTAAGGTTGTCAGTTTTTTGGTTGAAAGCAGTGTTTTATATTCCTGCCTTTGCGGAGTGTAAGTCTACATTTTAAATGTCATTGCAGTGATTGGCACTAAAATGCCACAGCTGCAGTAATTAAAAGCTACAAGACAGCCAATCCTTCACAATGTACTTCTTGTTTGTTTTATTGACTGAACACAAAAGATTTTTTTTTCTTTTGTTAGTTCCAGGGCGGTTTTCTGCAGCCTGTTCTAAAAAAAAAAGAAAAAGAAAGAAAAAAAGTAATCTCATCCCTCCAAAATGCCCATGGCTACTGACACCAGCACTTTTTTTTTCTTCATATTTTCCAATGCATGCTCTTTGTAGCTTCTCGGCTTTATAACCTTTTCACACCCTAAGGTCATAACTCTCACACGCCACAAGGTGCGAAAAACCTTTCCTTCTATTGTAGCATCCTGTAAACCGGAGGCAGTATTCAATAGTACAGAACATGCAGTTAAAATGAAAATAAAAGAACAGCACAATGAACACATTAAAGCTTAAAAACTGAATTCTGAATGCTGGCCAACACTGAAATGTTTGAGGTGCTTAAAGCGAAATTACAGCAAATGGAAAGTAGAAAAACAAAAGACACACATTCTAACAAGAATATAATAGCACAACACAACTAGAACAGAATAATGATACGTTCTTGCAACGTCATGCATCTCAGTGTCTGTTTCTTTAGGTCAAACAAGACAGCAGACAGACTGAGGTGATGATATCATCTAAAGATAAAACAAAACTGGAGCAACTTTTCAGACGGTGAATAATCTAACTGATCTCCTCATGACAACCACTACTGAGGTTTTACTGGGATGTGAGGGCATATTCTCACAGCTGGAAGCCTTTTATTCAAATAAAACTCAATGGGATGGATGTAATTTCTCAAAAATGTGTACGCGTCCACGGACCTGCTCTCTAATTCGTTATATGTCATCACTTCAAATCTAAGTGCTCCACTTGTCAGAGGAAAGTTTTGCCATTTATACTTTTCTCTCTAAAATCAGATGCATGTTGTATATTCAATTTACGTTTAAGCAAATGTGTGTCTCGAAGTGGACCGCGTTAAAAGAACCTCATTAGAACTGGAACAGCGAAAGAAACGGATGCCTCCTGGGTTCTAGACTTGACTTCAATCAAGCTACTAAAAATCCCCTCCACAAAGCACAAACAATTACAGTAAGAGCTTTATAATACGTACGAATATTGGGGCGAGCAGTGCACATGTGCGTCATGGGAAAGGGCCATTTGCAAGACGCTGGCTGAATGCAGTCAGTGCTGCGCTTGTGCATGTACCGTGGATAATTTGCTCACACACACGGAGCTGAGCATGCACTCAAAACGTGCAGAGACACAACGCTCAGGCTGTTCTGATTTCAGCATGATCAAATCTTCATGTCCATGTGTACAAGACAGACAGCGTCCTCGCAGCGCTGGTCCACTTGCTTGCTGTGCCATGCAGTAATGAAGTGCTTCCTTATAGGAAGTCAGCCAGTCATTAAATAAAGAATAGGCCACTTGAGATCAATTGAAATGACGAAAAGACAGTGACTGTGTTTTTTTTATCTGGAGAGTCAACAAAAGGCAGCGGTGGAGATGTAGGGAGAAGAGAGCTTCAAATCAGGGTCACATCAGACGCCGAAAGGAGGAGAAGAGCAAGAAGTTTCTTTCTTTTTTTCAGATTTTGTATAATTTACACATCACTCTGCTGCTCCTTCAGTGATCTCAACATGCTTCTCACCGCTTTTCCGATTATCTCTCTGAACATCTTGTGCTAACAATTTACACAGAGCACATTTTGTGTATTTACCCTCATTATGACATCCCTCTGCCATCTTCATCCTCTTTCTCCTTTTCTACCGGCTGCAATCACTGCAGTCCCAACCACCCACCGGCTGTAAACTGTAATTAAGGACTTGAATAAGTGGGGACGTGTCAGTTGAGCTGAACCCCAAGGAACAATGTAGAGTTAATCCACTGTAATTTGCTCGTCCACTGTAGTTTTGCAGAAGCGATAGAGTCTACAGCTCCACTACCTGCCGCAAATAACAGATGTTTAAGCAGTACAGGCCCAGATGTCTCCGGGTGTCACGTACTCGGTCACGCATTTGTCACTTTCTGATCTCAAGAATAGGTTAACAAGTTCCAGCGCTGGCGAGAACATCCGCGTTTAATTCAGAGAGCAGAGAAAAAAAATGTTTCAAATGTCGTCGCTTCTCGCAGTTGGCTCTGATGTCGCACCTCG